ACTGAACTTCTATTTAACGCCTTAAATTTTTAAATACTTTTACCTGTACTTACCCAAATAGACAATTTTGCCCCAACTTATTCCTAATCCTTAAAAAATTGTGTCCAATTTTTTGCCCTAGTAATTCCTTGCTCTATCGACTGCTGCTTGCAAGAATTTTATTGTTGTCGCCACCTTTATCGTTGCGCCACTCGAGAATGAAGAAGAGAGGAAAGGATCTCGCTGGCCACCCACTGATGCCTAGTTATACTCCTCTACATTCAAAAACGTCTGAACCCGTTTCAATTACAGGTTCCAACACCGTTTCAGGCAGCTCCTCCGGTTATAAAAATTCGACAGATTTGGGAAACTTCTCATCGTAGAATCATCCTTCCCTTCCGTAACTTCCTCTCTATTTTCAGAAACGTCTGACTCCTTTCCAATTTCAGGTTCAAAGGATGTAGAAAAGCTCAATGAGTTACGGTTTGAAGGAAGAAAGAAGAGAGCCGGTATGGTTTGGAAACCCGCACGGAGGCAAGGTCCTCCTTCCTTTCGTTTATATATGAGTGCTAAAGGTAAATTTTATACAAATAGTAAAACTGGAAAGGGAAGTTAAAAGTAAATTAAATAAAATAGTAAATAAGCCGCCACATGTCTCGTCTACGTTGGCGTTGGCTTTCTCCATCTAATGATAAGTTCAGGGCTAAACGCTGCCATCTCGTCCTCCACTTATGTTGGTGGAGAAGCAGTGGAAGAAACATTTCTTCTCCCGCTCTGTTCTTCATTTCCATCAAGCAGCTGTATTACTCTCAATCCAAACTTCAATCATTTGCATCCTTGGTTGATACTCCCCCACAAACGATATCGAGAGACCCCTTTAGTAAATATGTCTGCAATCTGATCATTAGTTCTGACATGACTCAAATGAATTAAACATGACTTCAATCTTTCCCTTGTAATGTGGCAGCCAATCTTGATATGTTTTGTTCTATCGTGGAGCACTGGATTCTCTGCAATATGCAAAGATGATCTGTTGTCACAAAAAAGTGGAATATGCAAGGGAACCTGCTCTCCCATTTTTAGCAGCAAATTTCTAGTCCATTGTACTTCACAAACAACCTGTGCAAGGGCTCTATATTCAGCTTCTGAGGATGATCGAGAGACAGTTGCTTGTTTCTTGGTCTTCGAAGTGATCAGAGAAGTACCCAAGAAGGTACAATAACATGTTAATGACCTTCTGGAGTCAGAGCCATAGTTCCATGTTTTGTGGGGTGAAATAACAAGTCTCAAACTGAGGTCCTATTACATGGAACTAAGAGTTTTTCTTTCTATTTGTGAAAATGTCCTAGCCTCCAGTGCCATAGTTCCATGTTTTGTGGGGTGAAATTGTAGGTGGTTGTTGCTTGGGAGTGAGTCGAATAAAGTTGTGAAGTCCTTCAATTTAATTGATAGAGGCCTCTAATCTGTTGTGCCAAACTAGTCCTGCTATGGGTCATGAGGTCTTGAATTTGGCAAGAATAAGATTCAAAGTGTAAGAAAATAGGTAGGTCATTTGTGAGTTTGCTAACAGAAACTAGATTAAAGGAAAAACTAGGCACTATGAGGACATTATCAAGGATCAGATCAGAAGTTAGTTTGACTCTTCCACATGACTAACAACAACTTTAGTCCCATTAGGCAAGAGCATAAATTGGTTATGCGCTGGAGTAGACTCAATGAAAAGATCTAGGCGGCAGGCTATGTGATCTGAAGCCCCAGTATCAAGTATCCATATTCCCATGAGAGCATTTGTTTGATTTTGTAAGTAGGAAGAAAGAATATACTTACGAGCAAAATTAGGAAAGTGAGGAATATGTTGTGCCACAGAAAATGCATGATGATTCAGTAATGGTGATGTAGGTGGAGAAGGACTAGAAGAAGGAGAGACTGAGTTGAGCAGGAACTTGAGCTTGTTCATTTCCTCATATGACAAGCCAAAACTTGTATTGGAGGTCTTGGTGTCAATGCTCATTTCGGTGTCTAAACTGGTTGTGTCATTGTCAGTGTAGGAATCACTTTGGGAAACAGCTGCTAACAATTCCTCCTGCCATTCTGGCCTTTTCCTCTTGAGCCAATAACAATCTATAATGTTGTGGTTCTCCTTTTTGCATTACGTACATAATTTCTTGCCATCTGATCCTTCTGCAGGTTTATGTTGATTCCCTGAGTTGCCGGACACAACTAGAGCAACTGTCTGAACACCTCTAGTCACTCCACCTTTGTCACCTTTGATTTTTTATTCATGTTGGAGCAAATCAACTGCATTGTCCACATTAGGAGTGGTTCATCATTAACAGCTGTGTGTGGACAACATCATACTCTGGCCTTAACCCTTTCAGGAAACGAATCAGATATTCAACCTCGTGTTTTTGCTTGAAGGCCTCTACAGCTGCACATGGTCGAGTTCTTTGAGGGACACAATCACACTCAACAATGGTATTGAATTGAAGGTTCTCTTCCCACAATCCCTTGAATGCAGTATAATACTGGGTAATGTTCAAGGAACCCTGCTTTCAGGATGTAATCTGATCTTGCAAGTTGGCCAACTTTAAGTTGGCCAACTTTATTGCATTAGGAAGACCAAAATGCTTCTTCAATTCCTCCCAAAGAACTCTAGCATTTTCATGTTGCATAACACTACGTCTAATTTCCGTAGCAATTGAATTAAGAATCCAGTATAAAACCAGTGTATTTGATGCATCCCATAACCCAAAATTTTAATCTCCCACATAAGGCATTGGGATGGATACATCGATAAATCCAATCTTGTGTTTGGTTTTCAAAGCCATACGATTGCCCTTTGTCACATATGATAGTTTGGGCCATCTAAGTTCTCAGAGACAATCGACTGTGAGATAATCTCATTTGGGCTTATATAATAGGGATTACCAAATAGAAGATTTGCACGTCCGTTGCCATCGTTGTTGTTGTTGCCATGGTTGGTAGTGTTTGAATGCGCGCCAAAGGTGCCAAAAGGAATAGCACCAATGTTCAGCGGAATGCCACCTGGGGTTCGTGGTGTTTGGTTGTTCGCCATTGCAAATCACTTGACCTTGTCCAGCTCTGATACCATGTAGAAAAGCTCAATGAGATAGGGTTTGAAGGAAGAAAGAATAGAGGAGGTGTGGGTTGGAAACCCGCAAGGAGGCAAGGTCCTCCTTCCTTTCGTTTATATATGACTGTTAAAGGTAAAGTTCGTACAAACAGTAAAATGGAAAGGGAAGTTCAACGGTAATTTAAATAAAACAATAAATAAGCCACCACGTGTCTCGTCTACGTTGGAGTTGGCTTTCTCCATCTAACGGTAAGTTCAGGGCTAAACGTTGTCGTCTCGTCCTTCACTTATGTTGGTGGAGAAGCAATGGAAGAAACGTTTCTTCTCCAGCTCTTTTCTTCGTTTCCATCGAGCAGTTGCATTACTCTCAATCCAAGCTTGAATCCTCTGCATCCGTGGTTGATAGTGGAAAGGGTTTGGTGGGGCAAAACATGGTTGCCGCAACCAACCATTCATTCAATATAACCTTCCCAATCCTCTTCCTTATTTCATCTCGAAGGGATAAGGAAAACGGAATTGGAGGGTAGAAAGAGAAAGAAAGCCCCTACAAAATCCTGTACGAGGGGGATTTCGAGGGGCGGTGTAGCAATAGAGGTGGTGGCTTCGACGGTCGAGCGTCACGATATAGGGCAATGATAATTTCAGTACGTTTTAGGGATTAAGGTCAAATATGTAATTTCATAGCAATGGCTTTGAATTTTAGGACGTTAATTAGTAACTCTCTTAGGAATTAGTTGGAGGCAAAATTGTGTGTTTGGATAAGTATAGGGCATTAAAGTTAAAATGTTAGGACGTTAAATAGAAGTTCCCTAAAAAATGTGTCCAACTTCTTATATTCCCTTTTTCGTTATATTTTCCGTTTGATGCACCATTCAATCTAGGGGTGAGCATGGGTGGTTGAACCCACAAATCCACCTGCAATCGACCTACCCATTGTCATGTGGGTGGTTTCCGAGGTGGGTGTGGATTGTAAAATAGGTGACCCACAAAAGAATGGGTGGGTGCGGGTGGACTATGGTTGACCCACGGCCCACCCAACTTGTTAACCTCAAACCTTCAAAGCTCTAACATATAGTATTATTGAAAATGAAACCCTTAAAACCACAAAAATTCCTCTCGATTCCGATCAAAGGATTGTGTTGTGAGGTTTGCTTAGGCAATTGGAGGTACGCTTAAACATAACTAGTAGATAAAATGACAAAAAAAGACAGTTGTCTTCCACAAAATGGCACTGTCTCAAACAAACACCAATTCGTCCTTCATTCCTTCCATACATTTGGGATTGTAATATGCGATTATAGGTTAAAAAGCTATTTATGCTCATAATGCCTAGGCGTATAATGCCAAAACGTTTTCCTTATGCCTAGTGCCTTCTTGAACCTTGGTTATTATCGGGTTTGGACCATTTTTATCAGTTGAATATTTTTTTAATTTGTGGACAATTATCAATACCAATATTGTAAAATAATGATTCACCTAATTAGTGGAGCAAGAGTTATTTAGTTTAAAAATTTCTTTCATTTTAAGTTTAAAACTATTGAAATTATGAGATTCATATGAAATATATGTTGTTAACTCACCGAATCGACCCAACCACAAATCATTCGCAATCACCCAACCCACCCACATGTAATGCTTAGGTGGGTATGGCATATGGGTCATTTTCTCCTTCACCCAACACGTAGTGGGTGATTCCAAACCCACCCAAATTCACATAAAACCACTCACTGCTCACCCATAATCCAATCTTCGATAAAAAACATCTATAACAGCTCTTGTTCCCCGCGAATGCTTGATGTGAATAAATGAAGTTTTGTTCTCCGCTTCCGAGATAGAACATTACTGCACATCATGTACAAGATATATTTACACGGTTCAGAATCCATTTCCTGGCTGGCTGTATCTCCAAGAGGAAACAAATCATCTCCCCTTCACGAAAACCCCATTTTAGAGATGCCATAACTTTGGCCGATTAAGCTCATCCAACGAACAGGAAAGGCAGATTCGAAGCTAAAGCTTCTCATTGGAACGTTAAACTAAAAAAACAAAAGAATCGCCACTCGCATCATACTACCATTCTTACAAGTTACAACTTATAACAGAGTAGAGTAAAAGAGTATACAGTGTAACAAGCCTGCACTTGCAGCTCTCCCATGGTAACTGCCCGTATTTCTCGGCTTCCCTGCAGATTCACATCCCACGAAATGCTTGGATAGCCAGAAAAGGAATATACATATATAGTCTAAACAAGGTTACTTGCAGCACAAGGCATCCTGGTCCCTTGTACCTTCTTAAAAGTTGCATGGATGTATATATTCTTCCACTCATCATCATCCCGACTCTTTAAGACTCGGGGGCTGCTTCAATGGATCAATCTGGGTGGCAAGAGGGAGCCCAATTAGAACAATGAACGATGAACTTTCTGCTTCTCTGAGGTACTGCACATTTCCATTCATGACCTTTACAAGCTTGTGGCTCATGTAAAGGCCGAGACCTTCCCTCGAGGTACCTCTACCCCGGGAGTGAAACATCTCCCGTACTAAATCTTCAGGCACACCAGGGGCTGGATGGCTTATTCTGCGAGCAATCAGTAGCATACAGAAGGTCAATTAAAATACTGTAACTTTATGTTCAACCGAGAAACTTGAATCGAGCAAACATACCGAAACTCGAGGTGGACAATCTGCACTTTAACTCCCATTCGTTCCTTCCGGCACACTACTTTAAACAACACTGATGATTCATTGAACCGTGGGGTGAAGAGTATTGAATTCGTCAAGAAATCAGCCAGAACTTGCTGAAGCCTCCAGTTATCTCCATACAAGTTCATGGACGACACTTCACCTGGGAAATCACAAACAACCTTAACTCCTCGTTCTCGACTCAATATCATGGCTTGCTTCATTACCACGTCTAAAGCTTCCGCAAGATTAAATTCTACAGTTCGAAGATCCAGATACCTGCAATGAAACAAAAACAGGTCAATGGAAGAGTATCAAATAATAACTTGTACTGCAATAAGAGTTTCAATCTTTGGGGAAGAACATACAGTTCTTCAATCTTCTCAATATCAGTGTCGTTGACTATCGTGGTCAACTGTTCGTGACATAAATTGTTTGTCTTGAGAAGCTGCTTCTGCTCTTCGTTCAAATCTGCACTACTGTTCATTAGATTATGCATAAATGACAAACCATTCAAGCCTTTCTGCACCTCCTGACGAACATACGTAAGCTTGTTGAGACTAGTAGATGCAGCCTGTTCCGAGATTTTCTGGACCTGAAGAGCATACTGTAATTCTCTGCTCGGTACGTATAAAAAGAATAGCACGCCAGAAACTCGACCCTCTGCACCATTGGTTCTCCCGTTTGCAGAAACTACAGCGTCGAGATCTTTACCATGCTGATCAAATAAACTGAACAACAATGGCTGTGAATCCTGGCCCGCGAGTGCCTGGTTCAGTAAGATCCTTAGCATGGTCAAAGTGTCATGACCTTTGACTCGGCAGCAGCCAGAGGTATCACCAGCGGAGAAAACTTCACCGAGAAGTAATCGATCGACAGCTTCTTCCCTCTTCAAGCCAGTTAAACTCTGCATTGCTTCATTCCACTCTATGCATTTGCCATGCTCGTCGCTCATAAAAATGGGGGGTATGAGGGAAGACTTGTTCCGAATGATTCCTAGGTAGTCTCCCTTGACATGGTTGTATTGATCGATTGCCATCCTCTGTCGAGTGAGATCTTGCCCGACAAAGCAGATCCCTGCTATCACTCCCTTGACATCTCTATTGCAGCATGCACTAACCACGAGATAGACCGGGCCATCGTTTTCCTTAGGACCGAACGTTCTGAAGGTGATTTCCATGTTCTTCTCTTCTTTGCCTGTCATTATGAAGTTGTGAGGGATCAGATTACATCCACTAATGGTAAGAAATGAAGAAAGATATGACTTGCCGGAAAAGAAAGTGTAAAGGCATTGCATGGTGAGATTGTTTTCGGTTCTGGGTAACCAGATGAAGCAAATGATACAACAGATTGGCCAAAATTAGTAGAAGTTTAAGCATGAAGTTCAACATCCTTAAATTACAACAAATTTCAGTAATAACTAATAAGTCAACTAAATTTTAGTAATTTTCAATAAATATAACAATGGGTAAATAGCCATTTAGGCTCAATAAAGTTTTTTTAGTTTGGTTGTTTAAACAAAACCAAAACAAAGAACTTGCAAATCAACAACCGAAACCAATACCAAGCCTAAATTATTTGATTTTGGTTTACAAACATACACTTAGAATTTCATTATTCTTTCGTTTTTACCAAAAAGAACAATTATAATGACTCAATTCATATAGAACATAAACCAAAATTAATAGAATCACCTCCAGAAGCTAACAACAGAACAGACTTGACCACATCAATCGAATCGCCGTCGACAATATCAACCAAAGGCACTCCAATTGCTTGTTCTACACTCAATCCAGTAAGTTCGGCTGCTTTTGAATTCCACCCATTTACACAACCTGAACCATCAACAGCAAAGATGGGAGCAGCAGCCGTTTCTATTACACGAACCATCTCATTCGTCACTCTCCTCAACTCATCCACCCTCTGGATTCTCTTGTCAGACGATGATGGAGGAACACGAACAATCACTGTCGAATCATCATTGACCAAATCTTCATCTTGCAATGAGCCTCTCAATATCAGCTGTAAAGAATGAATAGCATCCATTTCAAGATCCTCCCAAGGCAAGCTCCGCCACTTAACCACCTCTAGAAATGCCTTGAATGAAGATCTCGGCTGCATCTTTCTCAGACCACCGTCCTTATCATCAGGGTCGTGTTTCGCACCACCCCACTTGATCTCTTTCGCCGTGTGAGATCTAAACCAAAAGAGGAAGTCTCTTGAAGTTATCCTTATAGCAGCCATGCCACAAATTGCATCAGCAAGAACTGAAGCTCCTGGATAACCGGCTTCCATAATACTATCCGTAGTTAACCCTGTGCTATCACCATGATACTCAAGCAACCATTCCACCATATCCTTCATCTGTTCAGCGCTCGGGGAAACTCCCAGCAGCCAACATTTCTTCCTATAGAGAAGTGCAGCTCCATCACATCTAACAAGATCCATTACATTCGGTTTCTGAGTCATAATTGCTACAGGAGCATCTCTAAGAAGCATGTCACAGAGCAAAGTTTGAGTTTGTATGATGTGCTTCTCTTTCCTCTGAGCTTCAATCTCCACTTCTTTACTAATCTGAACACCAAAAACTTGAATCAAGAACTCACAGGCGTACCTCAACGGAAATGGAACAAATCTCGCCGTTGTATGATGACAAACAACCAACCCCCACAGCTTTCTCCCCATCTGCAGATCACTTTCCATGTCATTCCCATCTTCATTGTCATTAATAGTAACAGACATGACTAGCGATCCAATGGAACCCATGTTAGCCATGTATTGAGCATGGCACCCATGTGGAGCTCTTAGAGTTGAACTGGAGAGATTAATTGGCTCAGCCAAGCTCTTATCTTGTGTTACCTTTACAGAAGGAGCTAAGCAGTCGCATATCATTCTAACTTTATTCTTCATAAACAGAAACCGCGAAGCTTGAGGGATATCGGTAGCGGGATAATGCAACCCAAGATACGGCTCCAAGTCAGACCTAACAGATTCTGCAACAACCTCACCATGCTCATCATCGTGAAATTTGTACACCATTACTCTATCATAACCTGTTAAGTCCCGAAGTTCGTTCACTAGAACATCACATAACAGATTTACACTTCCACTAGGTACAGATTGTAGTTTCGAGATGGCTTTAGCAGCAATCTTGTAAGAAGTCAATGCACCAGTAGCAGTCAATGGCAGGTCGGACATATTAACCGGTTCAAGATCAAGAACCAACCCAACATTGATTCTATGAAGGATGGCATAGAACGGCTTGCCTGAAGTCTTGCAGTGGACTAAAATCGGGTTGAGGAGGTTGAGTTCTGGATGATTCGCAGCCTTCTGCAAGGCAGCTGAACCAGATGAACGAAAGAATCTTCTAACATCCATACCGAAAGCAAGTGCCTCTTGCTGCCCCATGCTTGGAACAGCAAGCTGTGCCAAGTCCAGCAACTCCTGAGCATTTTCACTGTAAGCTAGGACCTTGAAACTTTGTTCCTCAACAGCAATTAAGCAGCCAAAAGGCTGAATGAGCCTGCCCCTTTGCATCTTCTGGAGGTATGCTGAGACTGCTTCAGATGAAGGGACATTGTTGCCGGTGGAATTCGAGGCGTTGAGGTTAACCGAGGTGGAGTAGTCAAAGGCGTGCTGCTCCGATTCCTCAAACTCCTCATCTAGCTTTGCATCGATTGGAGTTTGATCAATTTTGGCACGTGCTGATTGTCTTGATTGAGCTGAGCAGCTGCTCCTTGCTCTTCCATTTGTTGTGGAGCTTGATGTTGAATCTTGAGTCTCCTTCCTCTTCATCTTCTCCCTCGGAACTTTCTTAAAAAACTACCTTCTACCCTTCAGCCAACCATGTAAATGAACTTCCATGGAGACCTAAACCATGCTTGGTTTTACTATTCCAGTAAAAATCAATTCCAAAAGACCCACCTCCCACTTCAAACCTTTTTTTGCTTGGAATCCAATAAACCCTGGAATCATTAGTCTTGCTGAACTTTAAACCCACCACCTGCAATTAACTAATGAAAACAAATCCCAAAAAGAGATAGAACCAAGGATTTCAAAAAAGGAGACCAACCAAAGTAGGCAAAAATAATACCTCAACCTAAATCTCTTAAATTCACAGTGAGAACCAGTTCAAGAAATCAGCAAATGAAGTGATGATAATAGATAACCCTTCTGGTTTTAGCTCTGCTGGAGATGAAAAAGGTTCCAACTTTGTGCTCCATACCTCATGAACTGACAACTTTCCCGAGAGCTCTCTCTGCCCAGAAAAAGAATAAGCTAGAAGCGAAAGCGAAAGCGAAAGAGAGAGAGAGAGAGAGAGAGGGGGGGGGGGGGGGGTGGAGAGGAGGAAAGAAGGACTGACCATGGGAGCAAGCTAAGAGAAAGAGCACGTGAAAGCTGAGCGAACCCAAGTGGGGGTGGCCACTGGGCGGCCGTGGGGTGGGCGGGAATATGGGTCGGGTACCGCGAAATGGGAATCAGCGGAAAGAAGGAAACTTCTGCTAGTTTCCTAGCTAGGGACAAAAAATGAGTGAAACTAATATGAATATGTTATAAAACGGCTAAATTACATGTTGGGTCACTCGAATTATATGAATCTTTTACGTTTGTCATTCGAATTATTTTTCTTTCTTATTCACCACTAACTTTACGAATCGTTTCACCGTTAGTCACCGGCCGTTACACTCCGTTAAATTTGTCCTACGTGACAGTCAACTATAAAGTTTGACTGTTAACTAGATGACGTGGAAATTAAAAAAAATCAATTTATTTTTCCAACTCATCATTTCACTCTATGATTTATCATATCACTTATTCAATAAAATTAATTAAATTGCAAAAAAAAAAGATTAATTTATTCTCCACCGGTCAAGATCCTACGGACGCCGTTGTGCGCAACCGCATTCGAGGTCCCGATGGCGCCGCCGCCGCAGAGGAAGACGGTGGCCTTGAATGCGATTTGCGGTGCCCATTCGAAGAGTGACGGTTGGCGGATTAGGAAGGAAGGGAAGGGGAGGAACTGGTGGAGCGCGTCGAGTTGCAGTCTTGCAGATTTGGACAACCTTCCGATTCGATGAGAACGGAACACCCTCGTCGTCACAACGGACGATGGGAAGCGAGTTGGCTGCAGATTTGGACAACCTTCCGGCCAGAAGGTAGAAGCGGGTGAGAGCCTTGGCGAGTGACGATTGGGTCGGATTTGGTGGGTGATTGAGGACGATGATTTGTTGAGGGGTGGGGGTTTATTGTCCGGCCATAGACCAGCGGGTAGTTTTGGGTGGAGATTCATTAAGGGAGTTCGCTGGGTTCGGCGGCGGCTATGGAGAAGTTGGGGGAAGGGGAGGGGAGGTTCGATAGGGGAAGGGGATTTTGGGTTCGGTTGGGGGCAAAGGGAAAAAGGGTCTTGATTATTGAGTAGGGATTGTGGATGAATTTAAAATGTAGGCTTCAATTAAAATTAAATTAATAATATTATTTGTTTTGTAAATTAATTATTTTTTATTAAGTAAATAACATGATTAAAACGGATGATGAGAGTGACAAACTATTAAACTAAGTGGAATGATGAGGTGGACAAATATATTGATTTATTTTTTATTTTTTTAATTTCCACGTCATCTAGGTAACAGTCAAACTTTATAGTTGACTGCCACGTAGGATAAATTTAACGGAGTGTAACGGCCGGTGACTAACGGTGAAACGGTTCGTAAAGTTAGTGGTGAATAAGAAAGAAAAGTAATTCGGGTGGCAAACGTGAAAGATTCATATAATTCGAGTGACCAAATATGTAATTTAGCCGTTATAAAACTAATGAAAATATAAACAATTAAGGTTAACTCTATGGAGCCTCTATAAATGAGGGAGCCTTTATATTTGGGGAAAGGTTGGCTCCAATGGAGCCTCTATAAATGGAGGAGTCCCTATATTTGGGGGAGATCTCCAAAATGATCTCCAAATTTGGGGGTAGAAATGGGGTTCCCCAAATATAGAGATTTTCCAAAGCCCGCCACGTGGCGTTTCTTTTTCTTTTTAAGATTTTAAGGGTTAATTGGGGTTTAATTAGGGGATTAGTTAGGGGTTTAATTAGATTAATAATTTTCAAGTGTTGTGTGTAAACCCAAATTAGGTCAATCATTTTTTGTCAACAAAAATTTGGTCTCAAAATTAAAAAAAAATTTCTACCGGAAAATTTGTATTTAAAAATGATGATGAACTATACAAAAATTAACATGAACAAATTATATTAAGTCTTCGATAAATATATTTTTAAGTAAATGAAAAACTTAAAAAATGGAAATCTCCAAATATAGAGGATGTAGCATTGGAGCAAAAGAAGGGAAAATGGGGATGAACCCCAAATTTGGGGATGAAGATCCCCAAATTTGGGTGCTTGCAATGGAGTTGGTCTAAGAGAAGATTAGAGAGGAGAAGAGTTCTTCTTATTCATTCTTCACTTTTGATACAATGGTGTGCTATATTTATAGGCACACTTTGGTAACCACTACATCCTTATATTAATGCATATGAATGAGAGGTAATGATATAAAAATAGGGGTTACATGTAACTCACAAGTGAGCATCTAATGTGGTAGGTCATTGGTCATCCATATATCAATATTTACATAATACTCCCCCTTGGATGTCCACTAGATTGCATTACGTTATCTCATACTACCTCGTTAAAAACCTTACTAGGAAAACCCATTGGGAAAAAAACCATGGTTAAGGGAAAAAGAGTGCATTGCGTATATGCTCCCCCTCATGACCACATGACTTCAGATTATTGAGTCGTTGAACTCAAATTTCACGAACAACTTTTAGAAAGATTGTTGTCGGTAGTGACAATCTTCTAGATTGTCAATTTGATGCATGATCTTTAGATTTTCTTCATACATGATCGTCAGGATCATTTCATTTGAAAATAGTTCACAACCACAAGTACTTGAGATATGGTGGATCACAAAGTGTAACGAAAGACATTCAGGACTTGCCCATTATAGTTTGTTTTGTTTCTTTATTAAACATTTATATCACCACATGTAGGAGATAGCTCGTCTTCGATCAACCAATATGAGGATCAAATGATATATATGATTTGGATATATAGTTTACCAAATCTCTCTTTGATAATACCATAATAGAACAATCGCATATATTGTTCCCGGAGGTAACGAAGTATTTTCCAACGTTGTAATGAGGGAAACATTGTATCTTGCCAATATTATCAACACCAAAATGATAGTTTATATGGTACTTGGCTAGCAAGGTGCATTGGTGCTCTAATGCATCAACATATGGTACTTCAGGACCTAATGTTTCACTTCTTTCTTGATTTCTAAATGGATATTTGGTCACTTCTAGTGATCTTAGGATCCTAATGTTATTTGATGAACATAATTCGTTCATGCAAAATTACTTTCCCACTTTTTCAACATTACCTTCCTTGCCCACAAAAAGGATCTTAAATCCTTCAATTTAACTTATGTCTCTAAGCAATCAACTGCTTTAGGAAGCTCTTCAGGAGATCCAATAATAGTCATATCATCAACTTAATATGAGATCGTCACAAAAAAAAACTTAACTAACACAAATTGATGCAAGCATTCTTTCATATAACGAAAGATAATAACAAAACTCACATCATAGAAACATATGAACTAGACAAAGCACACTCATAAAACACAACTCATACTTTAAAGTAAATCACAACTCATAAATCAAGAATTTAAAATCCTTGAAACACATACAGACAACACAACTCGATGATGCATTACATGGTATGGGGCAAAGAGAAGAACGAAGAAGGAAATAAGAAGAGGTCTCGTGGATGGAGCCTCAATACTTTCCAAGTTCACCAGCCCTCAATCATGGACCCGTCCAATGCTCGTGACTTGCAAATCCACATCACCGACGAGAACCTCAACTTCAAGGAGGTTCTATGTTGGACCAAAACTCGAGGAGAAACCGTTTGACTCACGATGTTAAAGAAGTGGTTGGTGGGAGGCAACCCAACCATCATCGGTTTGCATCTTTTTTCCTTTCAATAAGACAATCATTGGAGAGTTTTTGCTGGTGTTTTTCTGTCTCCATTATCTTCCTGATCTCACCCGCCCCCTGCTCTCAAACACTAACATTCACAACTTATTCGGTAACATCATTCCACCTCCTTATTTTATACCATTAAGGGCAATGACGAGCTTAAGTGTGTGTGGTATTATGCTTGTGTGTGTGAATGATTGGTTTGGTTTTGAATGCTTGGAGCCTAATTGTATGCCCATTATTTTAAAATTTGAGGGCTCCAACATAGCAACTTTTCATTTTGCATGACCATAGTGGCACCTTTGATGATTTGTTTTGAATCTCGTGGCTATTAGTATTGATGTATGGATGACTTGTTTGTGATTGAGAACAACCTATGATGATGACTGATATATGCATTGGGGTTGTGTAAATGTTCAGTTCTCATGTGTTTGCGAACCAATGGATGTTTTTGATTGATTACTCATTGATCACAATTGCTATGCATCAAAATTTGGAAGTTGGAATGAATGATTGAGCATCTAGGTAGCCATATTAGATTTGTGTCGCTCGTTTGATTCTTGTGTGGTAGATCCCTCTTACCATGGTGTGTAGCGTTCACGTTGTCACTAATGAGGAAGATGGAGGCATTGGTTTAGTCCACGGCCCGAAATTTGACTTGTCCCGATTGAATTATCCTCTTGTCAACCCTTTGGAGCCATGTGTCTAAGGATCTCTTTCGTGAATCAAGATTAGGGATGGCAATCAAACCCTTGGCCGCGGGTACCCGACCGCCCCATACCCGGTCAACGCGGGGAATCCCCGCTTTGACCGGGTATGGGGCGGGTATGGGTAAAACCCGCAAAAGGTTTGATGGGTATGGGGCGGGTATGGTTTTAGCCTCCCCCGCCCCATACCCATACCCATACCCGCCCCACCAAGAGAATTTCTTCACATATCAAAAAATACGTGGATTAAATTGTAATCTATCAATGATGATGATGATAACTCGAGAAAATAAATAGTAGAAATGCAATTGAGTAACCACCTTAATCAAAACCTAATTCATTTCCCTCAATTCTCCTTCCACTCTTTCACTTTCCCCCTTGTCAACAAAATTATGTTAGTTAATTATTACTTAGTAAATGTATCAAGAGTTAGAGCATAATAATTTAAAAAATATTATAGTCTATATTATGTATTAATGGATGTTTTAGGATCATATTCTTTTAATAGTATTTAGAAAATGACCGTGTTTTGTTG